TTTGCTTTATGGATAATTTATTTGATGGGTGTTACCCTTTTTATTCTAAAACATTTTCAATATATGTATATTTCAGTATATGAATATGTGTGTTTAGTAAGTTAATTTGAGGTCAGTTAATTCTGTAGATAGCGCATAGTGAATCTGAATCTGGAAGACCTAAGTCCTCTTTCAAGATCTACCATGGACTTATTGTGTGAACTATAGAAGCATCACTATATTTATCTGTGCCATAGTATACACCTGTATTTAAGATCAGGAAGATAATTATCCATCTAAATAAAACGTTCTAAAATATTCTTATGAAATTTATTGATGATTTCAGAGTAAAGCACTAAGACCTGGATCAATTTTTACAGATTCATAAATGGCACAGATTTAAAAAATAAAAAATAAAAATCTTCTGTGTATCTGTATGTATACATCTGTATATATCTATATGTAATTCTGAAATACTTTTCCATTTTTATTTGACTATTTTTGATTAGCTTCATTTGCAAGCTGAAAAATAATGTTTTGGATTACTGTACTATAGAGTCAGTCTCAGGTCTGAAAGCCAGATAAAATGCGTGAAATTCATGGATTGACACAAAGCCTGGCTAGATGGACTGTTCATGGAAAAGTGCAGTGAGGCCACTATCCAGGGATTGGAAGAGGTGCTTCTTTCTGTCAGGCTCAGTCTTTCCCACCTGAGGTGCAGAGTTGGTAACTTCTCTGAATTTGGTAAATACTAACAGTCTGCCCACATCAACCTGGAACGCATGGCATGTAAAACAAGCCCTTAGCCCTACTCTTTCTTCTACAGCAAGAAAGAACCACTGGGCTAGTATAAGGGACTTCAGATGCCTGCAGAGAGGAACCACTAGATTCTGGCCTTACTTCTGCCTTAATTTTGATATTCTTCTACTACCTGCAATAGTACAAATTTACCTGAAAATGTGTTCAGAGGATCTAAGCACCAACTTTCTTCAGAGGTCATCCCTTTGCCAGGTTGTGACATCTCTCAGTAAGCTTGGATTTGGCCTACTGATGATAATGCATAGTGGCATGAAGACTGCAAGTTCAGGTTTTGGTGTGGAAAAATGACTGGACAGTTACTGCTAGTGATAAGACTCTGGTCGTGTTATGCTTTAAAATATCTAATTCTTCTGCAGCCTTTACTTATTTGGTATTTATTCTATTTGGTCCGACTGTGCTATCATTTATAGGGATAGCTATTTTCCCCTCTTCACACAAGTGTCTTTTTATCTCTCTGTTATGTGGACGCCTCTGGCTGCATACATTTGCTAAAATACTTGAAGGTGGTAATTTTTTGTCAATGTATAGAAATATACTTCATATTGTCTTATTCAGATGTACAAAGCCTCAAGGTTTATGGTAAAACACATGAGGTTTATGTAAAAAAACAATGCTTATATAAAGCACATGAGGATGTATTTTACATAAAATTCTTCTGTCTTACCATTTCTTTTCTTACTGCTCTTATTGGGTCTGAAGTGCTAACAGAGGTTAAAAAAAAAAAAATAAAGCCTTTGTTAGAGAGATCAGCAGATGGACTTTAATACAACCCAGAAAGGGTCTCTTTTCAGCTGGAGATAAATGACTGCTAGTTCTTGAAAGTTGTGCATAAGCTCCACCACTGGAGATTCCCTCCAAGTGCCTCTGCCTGTAAAACTCGTGTAGAAAGCTCAGGATATTACAATCCACTCTTTCAGAGGGGGAGCTCCGTAGAGTATAATCTCAGACCAATAGCAATGACAAGAGAAGGGCCCAAAGGGCAACAGCAATGAATGAAAAAGTAGTTTTCACAGCTTTCTGGAATGCTAAATTCAGGGTTTCAACCATTGTGAGACATGGGCAGTAAATGTAAAAGAGAGATATCTAAAACGACAGCTGTTAAGCCTTTCTAAATGGAAGCTCAAAAATCAGTTACTGTTTAACTTAAAATTTTTATCTGTGACAAATAAATCTTATTCTTTTCCATTGCAGAAAACTGATCAGGCACAAATCAGACAGCCTATTGCTGTTTGGCTTAAGTCCAGTGTGTAATAGCATAGCAAAAGGTGTCTGTCTTGTTTGCAAACTGCTTCTTGGTCTTAGACTCTTGATCCAAAATATGTCAGATCAGTATCACTAATGAAATTCTCTGTGTACTTTCCTCTCTTTTGTGTAGCTATTTACTCATGAAGAGCCTTATTTTGTGAAATCCTTATACAAGGTCTGTGTAGATTTTGCTGGCATCAAATCTAAACTGAAACTTTTAAATCTGGATAGGGTTGCTGGAACAACACCGAAGGTAACACTTACAGTGTTTTAATAAGGAGTAGAAATGGAGCTAAGCCCTCTCATTTCCAAAGCTATGTAACATGACTTTTGCTCACATGAAGCACCAATGTGAAAGCATCATTGATCTCACTATTATGAAATCAGTTCTGTTCATCGTAAGTCTGTTCCTAATGAGAGGGGTGGTTTTTTTGGTACAGTGATTTATTGTGTCCAGTTTTCTGTGCTATTCAGGAAAAATGCAAAAATTCTAAAAGCAGATATCCAGTCTAGAGGCAAAAAGATTATGCAGTGTAGCAGAAACACTCTGCTCTTGTGCAGAAACTGAGGTATCCTAACAGGGACCTAAAGCACAGGGTGAATACAGCATCCTGATTTCCAAAAAAAAGTTAAACATCCAAATGAGGGAAGCAAAGTGTACAGTTGCCTCATGTGGTTTTCTTCATGTTCCTTCTGAATTGTGTAGGGGCTGGGCACGGAGGAGAGAAAGAGAGATAAGACACACCAGCACTTGTTGGGGATTAACTCCCTGTGTGCATGTGTGTGTTTTTTGAAAGTATGGAGCAAGTAGAAGTCCCACAATAGAATAAATGGGAAAACAGGCTGAATATGAGTTCTAGCAGTAGCCAAATGGCCTGGTTACTGGTGCATCTGGACACTGCCTTATATTTCAGCACCCTGGCAGAATCCTGTGACAATATGGCTTGGCTTTAGAGGTTCTTTCTTCAACATGCTCTGTATATGCTAAATTCTTATCTGTGTTAGTTTTAGTGTCTAAATCTGCATAAATGTAATATAAGAACATTTGGGACTTAACAGCACCTTTCTCTTGATAGCAGAAACACCTGGTCTTCGTTCCCACCACAGCCTACTTTCTCCATAAAGCTTTGGTGATTTCCTTGGCAGTGTGAAGATGAATTTTGAATACAGCAAAGGCTGAATTCCTGTGTTAGATCACATCATATTAGTGCGGGACTCAAGAGAAATGGCGAGGAACTTCATTTCTGGAGAGTGGGTTGGAGGGTAACAACAGCTGTAAAGGTTTCTGCAGACTTGATGCTAGATGATCAAAAATGGAGCAGACAACGCAGAAGAAATCTACCTAGACATAACTAGACTACTTGAGGTACGTGATGGGGCTGCCCCCTGTACAGAATATGAACTTTTAAATAACATTCTAATATTAGATACTAAATTTTACTAGGAACAGCCTTCTGATGTTCATAGCTAAAGTCTCTTGTCTTACAGCACAGCCATGTTGCAAGATATGCTCTCATACCCATCTGTGAGTTCAGCTCTGACTGCATGTCATGTGTGTCTCCCAACAGAGTGAAAAAAACAGGCATGAATGCATAATGAGGAGCATTAGATACACAAGGTTAGTGCATGAACTGAGACATAATCTGTATTCCAGAGAATTTTTTTTTCATTGCCATTGGTGGCTCCCCAGATTAAAAAAAAAAAAAAAACAGCAAACAAAAATCACCCCTTTTGCCCCTTCCCGAGTTATCAACAACAGGAGGAGTTTCAGGGTCCAGGCACACTGAGGCAGCACATGTAAGTGGGGGACAGTCAGCCTCTAAATTCCAAAGGCAGCTAAAATTAACATAAAATCTGTCCCTGGGCATCTTTTCCCTGTCTTAAGTGCGTGCTGGATAACACTTTTGCTGGCAGTGGAAGAAGTCCACGGAGGTAAAGGGCGAGAGAGAGAATTCACATGGAAAGAGTACACTATCTCTGGAACAGCATCCTTTGGCATGGTTAAATGTAATCCAAAATTTCAGAGACAAAGTGTTCATGAGCTCATCTGCTGGGGCTGCAGAGCAAAGTATTGGTGATGCTAGCTGAAACTGAGAGGATGGATGTGAAGGGAAGAGCTGAAGTTTTAAAAAAAAAAAAAAAAAAAAAAAAAAGAGTTGGGTCTTGCCATTTGCCAGGAAGAAGCTGCAGGCGTGAATAATGGATTTCTTGTTGGTGGCCATGTGGGCCATTTCCACAATTTCCAATTGTACCTAGAAAGCACCCACATTGTTTCCACACTTTCTAAATATTCTTGTATCCAGCGTATGTTGTTCCCCTCCCCCCACCCCTGTGCCCTCTCCACCTGAAGTTAATGTAATCTGTTTTCGGAGGGCTTTGTTTATAATTGTTAGGCCTGAACCAGAAAGAAAAATGCAAAATCAAGCTGGCCCGTGAGCATGGGGTGAAGGGCTGGTGGTGGGGTGGGGGCTGCCTGGGGCCACACCAG